GCAGGAATGTGGGTTCATTTCTCAGTGCTGAACAGGCAGGACAGCAGAGAATTAGTGTTTAGAGATCTTAATAAGAAATCATGGATTCACCTCTTACATTCAGTCTCATTTACTTATTCTTTCACATACTTGCAGGGCCACCTCTATGTCTATCCTTCTGGTATTACAATGATCAAGTGTCACTACCTAACAAGTTACTTTTCTAACCAGCTTTAGGGCACCACTCACCAGAAAAAGCCAGAAGCTAATCGGATGCTCTTTGAGGCTAGGAAAGGGGATTTTTTTTTCCTCCTCCTTTTCTTTAGTCACAGTAAGGTTATGAAAAGACAAGACTGCCTTCTTAATGTGTTAGGGAAGTGGATTTAAAAATCCTGGTTTTCGTGTATAAAAAGTGCATCCTTATAACTTTCACTGGAATATTGATACTATGTCAGCCCAATCAACAGGCCCAATCAATCAGCCCAAGCTCCTGCAGCAGTGAAATGATCACATTACAAGGAAAGTATGTGTTAATTTGAATGTATTGACAAAAGTGCCACAAAAATGGAATTTCCATTTGTCCCTTTGCAAATTGATTAAAAAAGCATAATACAGAAATCTATCCATATATAGCATAAGACTTTTACAGGTAATACATTTGTACATCATTTAATTTCAAATGATCCTCTCATTCAGCCTTGACCAGCCAGGAAAGTGATGATTTTTCTACTTTCCATTTTCAGCACTGAACATTCGCTCCTAGAAAAACAAGTGAACAAACAACAGTTTAGCAAAACTTTGGGAAGTACACTGCGCTTCAATAATGCAGGCTTTAGTCAGTATAAAGTTGTCAGTCAACAAGAACCAATGCCTAGATCTGGTATAATTAATGTATGACAGCTTTTTTTTTTTTCCCTCCTTCCTGGTACACAAGTCAATTCCATTTAAAGACTCCCCTATATTGACAGAGAACTTTACTTTCACATGCCCTGGTTATACTCAACATGTCTGTTCTCAGTGCCTTCTACAACAAGTAGAAGTATGACTTATTTCCACCTCGCTATCTGAAGGGTATTCACTTTGTCTTTTATCACTACTGACAAGCCAACATGTTTGGAAGTAGACTTAAGGGGCTTTTCACTTAGACAAGTGTTATCTTGATTAGCTGCCATTCTAAATACTGCCTTGGGCTTTCAACAGCAGGTGTGTCTGTATACACCTAGCATGAATTCCTTCTTGAGATGCAGTAAAAAAAGGCTTACTTCAAATGCAGACACCAAGTTCATTCCACCTATGTGGTCAGTTTGCTGCTTGTTATGCCGCTTCTATAAAACTGTCAGACTTGCTCACAGGTTCCTAGTCCTAAGCAGCTATGGTTTAGCTGAAGTATTTGGAGGAAGCTGAGGGACACAAAGATGTGGCACAATATAGCATCTACCTTTAACATTCTCTCCAGTTTTATTGCATCAGCAGCAAATTTTCTGATCCCATCTGACAGCTTCTCCACAGCCATTTGGTCTTCATTGTGGTGCCAGCGGAATGCTTTCTCATCCAGGTGGATCTTTTCAAGATCACATGCCTGAGCTGTATAAGGAGAAATTTAAGGGGGGGGGGCGGGGGGAAGAACACATCAGCTTGTTGTGGATTCAAATACACAAACTTCCTAACTTCCTAAAACAGTCAAGTTTGACCATCTCTAACAACTGAAAAATTCCAAACACCACTTTCAACATGATTTGCTACTTGAGCACACACTTATATCCTAAAGTGTTCCTGATCTGTACTATTACTCCAGTGTGTTTAAAAAAAAAATCTAGATATTCTGTTTCTCTTAAAATACCATATTCATGTGTATTGCATTAACTCGCATCTGCTTCTCAATGGTACAGTACTTTCAGGCTCACTATCAAGAATTATGCACAAGTCCTAAGGCAATGAAACAATCTAGGCAAACATGCTCAACAATTGGGTCTTTGATCATTTGGCAAGTACCTAACAAAAGTCCAATTGATAATATGCCTACCAGCTATCTTGCACACTGTAGCAACCCATAGCTACAGCTGTGCACAAATCTGATCTTCTAAATTCTGCAGTAAAATGTTAATAGGATTAAAGAAAAGTGAAAATGGTGCAGTGGGAACATATAATCAAAACCATCACAGCAAAGTATCACTAGAACAAGTTCAAGTAAATTCTAATGGTTATTTTACTTTTTTTTTTTGGGGGGGGGGGAAAATGACACTTTTTACACATCTGGGGCTAACAGAACACTCACTAATGCACTGTTAAAACAATGATTAAACCAAGTTTGTCATCTTTGCTAATATTTAGTAAAATTTCATTCCAAGCATATGAAGTATAAATTTTTTTCTTCTGTTCTCCCTGTCTTGAGGGTAATGGGAGGAGGACCCACAGGGAGGGCACATTATTTAAGCACACTTAAAGTCTTAATTCTAGATGGTGTGCTCAACAGAAACCAAGACCCTAAGGAAGTGACTGTGTAAGCAACTGTAATACAGCTGTAATGCAACTGTAATAACCCTTTGGGGGCAGGGGTATCAAGCTTTATCCTAAAAGGAAATGGAAGCAAGCAGCACAGGACTAAACAGGACTGTATACTGTTAGTGCTCAGTATTAAAGGGAGGCTGAACAAGCCCATATTACGTAAAAATGGACTTACCATCTTTAACACTGAGTGTAGGAGTTAACTTGACGTATTCTTTGCTGAGCTCTGCCAAAAGCTTGGGTGAAATGGTGAGATAGTCACAGCCTGCAAGTGCTTTTATTTCTCCTGTATTTCGGAATGAAGCACCCATCACAATAGTTTTGTAGCCAAACTTTTTGTAGTAATTATAGATCTTAGTGACACTCTTCACACCTAAAGAGGAGAAATTGGTGACTTTCAGAATAAGAGTATTCTTTGAGCTTCAAATGAATTAATGCAGCAAACACTATCATGTGTTTCATAAGAGGATTTATAAGAGTAACTTGCAGCTTGAATGAGTAGCTAATGTGTTTTTAGCAATATGTTAAAGGCAAGTTTACCTGGATCCTCTGAAGGCTCATAGGTTTTCTTATCCCCATTTGCAACGTACCAGTCCAGGATACGTCCTACAAATGGGGAAATCAGAGTAACTCCAGCTTCAGCACAGGCAACTGCCTGAGCAAAGGAGAACAGCAAGGTCATGTTGCAGTGAATCCCATACTCCTCTTCCAGAACCCTGCAGACAAAGGCTGACTTAAAATGGTGATTTTTCCTCACCTACTGACTTTGCATTCTTATAATACACTAGTAGGTTGAACTCCTGAAGTTCTCGGCTTAAAACCTTAAGTTAGAAGTGTGCTACAGTTTATAAGCTTTAAGGTAACAGAGCACACGTTTTGCACTGACAGACCCTCAGTTTCCGACGACTATACATGTTGTCAAACAAGTGATCTGTTTAGTGTTGTTCCTTGCACCAAATGCAGACCACTTAACATGGTATCTCAGGAAACTCTGTTTAGGAACAGTCTGGCCCCTCTAGGCACAAACTTTTCCTATTTGAGCCAAAAGCTCTAGTATAGCACCTCGCTTGTTAGCGTAGCCCTAGTAACAGATTTCCTGGAGCAATGCTTTCAAAAACAATTGTTTATTTTAAGAGCAGAACACACTTGTCAAACGCCTGTGAACAGCCAAAAACATGCTAAGAATTGGTGTTCCAGGTACCAAAATACTTACTTGCCAGCCTGGATCCCTTCCCATGTTGAAGAGAGCTTTATGAGAATACGATCTTTACCAATTCCTGCTTCCTTATAAAGGTCAATGAGGCGCCTGGCCCTCTGAATCATTCCTTCCTTATCAAAGGACAACCTTTGAAACAAGAGCAAAACCTCTTAATTTTAAGCAGTCTTTTTTCTCCCAAAAAATCATTCAGGACAATTGTCTTATGTTCTATTCCATTAGCATCTCTGTTCCAACAGCTTTTTCTTCTTGGCTGAAGATACTCCCTTGTATGCCCATCAAGCAGTTCAGCAGCACTGCTACTCTAAGACAATCCAGAACTCGGGATAACTTTGAAAAGGTTATAGAATAAAATTTTCATAAAGCTTTTCATAATGAATCTAGAAGCTGAAAATTAGAAATGAATTAGCAAAAACAAATCCTATGTAAGTCTTAAATTGCTAAAACACGTTTTTGGTAACTTGAGGATAAGACAATACCACACAGAAGAGAATGAGCAAAGTTTTAAGTGCACTGGAAGCATAAGGTTTCCTCTGCTAAAGGAACTCCAGGAGGATGACACAAATTCAAGCTCTGTATTACTTGTTCTCATAAAGTTTTGTCACTAAGTTATAATCAAGTCCTAGTCAAGTAAGCTAGGCGAAACCAGTATTCCAATTGAACAAACAGTAGCAATACAAACTTTTGCTAGTTGTAGAGCAATGAGCTTTCTATTCAAGAGTATCTTTCTCCAACTCACGTAATATCTTTTTTGTATGTACAAATATCCAGGGTAACCCAGAGGAAGAGAGCTAACCTTGCATCTACTTCTGTCGACACACGACCAGGTATCCTCTTCAATATTTCAGCTCCAAATAATACAAAAAGCTTGTCACAAGCATTTTTGATCTGCTCATCTTCTGACCTGAAAAATTGAAGAATATAGTTATTTTCTATGGGATCTGGGGAATAGTAACGTCTTCTCAAGCTTTGCCATAGAGTTGAAGATCTGAATTTTATAACCCATTTAACGTTGTTCCACCATTAAAGTAACCACTTCTGCTCTATGTGTATGTTCTGCCTTCTCTCCTTCATATATCACCAATAATATTAACTCTCATACACTATCTCCTGTAATGCTATCAAGTCAGAGCGCTTTCCTGAGCAGTCTTAGAATGTCATGTCAGAATGGTTAAATGGAGATGCACTTCTAAAAAACATACCTGAAACTAGCAACAAGAATGTCATCTTTAAGGTTGAGACTTTCTGGGACAAGGAAAATAAATGCCCATGAACACGCGAGGGGAAAAACCTAGAACATTGCTAATAGTATTAAACACTATTTACATAAACAAGGTATCTTAAATATAGATTTACTGAAACAGAAACAACTTTACTTACCCTCCAAGTTTTTTTCCATACTCAACTGCATCATCCACAAGTTCCTGGTAAGCTGGCATCTGAGCAGCAGCTAGTATCAGAGATGGGTTTGTAGTGGCATCTAGGGGCTTGTACTCATCAATTGCTGGGAAAAATAAAAATAGCCTACTTAAAATAATTAGCAGGCCTGAGTAAGTAAAAGGATTTTGCTCAGATATGTAAGAATGTAAATGCTTATGGCTGTAGGACAATAACATTAATGACAGAGCAGACTAGTACAAAGTGTTGTTTAAATATCACTACCTGAAAACTGGCAGATTTGCCAGATGTTCCAGTTCAAGGATAACAAGGCTATGGTAACAAGATCAGGCAAAGTTTACCCAGTACTTTAGGCATTACCCAAAAGAAAAACTTGTGAAAATGACATCATAAAGAGAAGTTATGCTAGTCTTAAATTTCTTTCATATATCCTTGTCATGGTCACAGTCATGAGGGTTGGGGGAGGGAGGGGAGGAAGCATTCTTCCCTTCTGGCAGTTGTGTTTGGGTTTTTCTGTTTGTGTACACCTGTTAGAACCAGAACAAGAAAGAGTCATCTCTCTGACTTTAAGTTTTAAAATGCAGTAAGTAATTTTTTTTTTGTAGTTGCACACAGTTTCTCAGTTTCTGGTTTTGTAATTTCCTTGTACTCCCAGGCCTACTTCCTTATATATGATATTTGAAGCTTTGGCTTATCTTAAGCCCTGTACTACACCTATTTCAGGTGATACTTGTTTACCAAAGTAGGCTGTTACTGTGCATTCTCTGGCCCTAATCACAGTTGAGCTGCCTGGCATGCAATGTCTGACTCAGCACATGCATGACAGCCTCTACAAGCCCTTCAGTGATTTCTGCTTACAAACTCTCTTGGTAACATGGCTTAATGTCAAAAATAAAGATATTACCAGCACATTTTCCTCAGCATATTGCAATCAGGGGTGAGAATCCAAGCTGATAAAGTGCTATTTTGCTTTTGCAATGATAGAAGAAAATAAGGTTTGTTTTTTTTATTAGTTTCTCTAGGCAATGATTCTGGTCCTTGAATAGACAGGTCCAATCCATACTAACAGGTCCTTCAAAATACTCTTTAATGTATATGGATAGTGCTTAAAATGAAGTAGTACATTAGCAAAACTCAGTTCTGAAGCACAGTACACAATTTAAGACCAGTATATTTTGACAGAGCTTATTAATTCTCTCCAGAACTGCAGGATTTCTGAAGAATCTTACAGGTTACTGAATACTTGTTGCCAGAGATCTCATTAAGTCTCTTATCCAGTTTTCCTAAAGGTTAAAAGCAAGTGTTTAAGACAAAAAACTCAAGATTCCCTTTTTCCTATAAAGGGCTAGGTAGGTTATTCCTGTGGACACTCAAAAGACAATTGCTATTCAGTATTTTCCAGATGCCAGTTCAATGTGAGGTTAATAGGGCTGATAGTATAACTCAAAAATAGCTCTTTAAAAAACAAAGAAAAAAAACAGGACAAGCTTTCAGTGAGGATCTGTGAACTGCATGCACTGTTGGGCCACCTTTTGTCACCTTGTGACCACAAGGAGAACTGCGGAGAAGAGTAAGCATATCTGGCTTAGAGGGAAAGCAAAACAAGCAAGTTCAGTTACAAAAGAAGCCACCATGACTTCTACAAATATAAGTGAAGGAGGCAGTTTGTCTTTTCCTTCAGGAGCAGTTCCAACCACCTTTCTATGGAGCATGATACAGACAAGCTTTTTATCTACACAAGAACTGGCAGAGTGTTAGTAACAACTGCACCTTAATCAGTAAGTGTTTAACCTGAACTGGGAGTCAGATGTTGACTATAGCCTTATTTAAAAAAAAAAAAAAATCCACTTGTGGCAAGAGGTGCAACTATTCTTGTGGCAGTTTTTGACAACTGCTACCACAGATCAACTGCAAAAGTGTTTTTAAGGGCACGTTAAAGCTTCCAGTAGACAGCATTCAGCTGCTCTGCCACTATTGACTTTTCCCTACTGTAGACAAGGGAGGGCTTTAAATTCATGAAACTTCAGCACAAAGGTACACAAATCTTACAGGCCTAAAGTTATTGAACTCTGGATTTAACGCTTGACAACATGGCATCAATGCTCTATACCTTTCAGATGCTGTGGTTCCCTGTCATGCAAGACCAACTCCTCAAGGCAAGTAACAGTTTCTCCATAATGTTTCACTCAGCCTGATTCTTGAAATCAGGCAGTTCAAAGCACGTAGCAGGTATGCATTATCTACTGTCAATGTATAGACATATATATACATAAACACACGATGTCATCTTTGGGACACCTGCCTGAGCTGCTGCTACCTCTTTAGGTTCTTAAATTTACTAACATAGAAGACATTTGATGGTAGCCATTTAAGATTGTTTATTCAGCACCTATAGGATTAGGTTTGTAGGAGACAGATTATTGCAGGCTTCTGAATGACAGCAGAACAGGATTCAAAACATGTTGCTCTACACAATCCAGTGAAATTCAGCAGAGGGATTTTTTCAGTTCTGATAAACTGAAAGTTGCATGTCTGTACAGGGCTTCAAGCAATGACAGTTCAGGAACAAGCAGCTTCATAATCTAACTCCACCCCCCCTTTATAAGAAAGGGGAGTGCTTGCTCATTCTCATGAGATAAAGAAAACAAAAGCACTCTTGCATTATTTTCTTTGCTCACAACTGTTTTGCTTCTGCTATATATATGTCTGTGTGTGTGTGTGTGTGTGTGTGTGTGTGTGTGTGTGTGTATAAACATATATATTAAGAAAACTACACTGGCTTTTGGAAAAAGTAACTTCATTAGCCCCACAGAACTTCTCTTGTCGAGTCTGCCTCTTCATATAGATCTCCAGCTAATGTCTGTGAAGCCCACATTTGAACTGGACAAGTCAATAAGTGTGTTAAAATACCAACAAATGTGAATTCCTCTGCCAGTGACTCGTGCAGGCTTGACATCTTAGTAACAGCACATGGTGCTGAATGTCTCAGTTTGTACATGCTCTCTACAAGGCACCAGGTCAAACCCTGGTGGAAAAAAAAAAAAAAATCATTGGAGGTTCTGGCAAATGTATCTGATGAACTGGATGTAGCCCACAGCCTGCTAGTTACAAAGGTTTGGATTTAAATGAAATCTGTAGAACAAGGAGAAACAAGGACCAGCAACCTTAACTGGCACAGAGCTTTGCTCATCAGTTTTCCCATCTCGAATTAGAGACAAACAGTGCAAGAACCATTTATGCTGCAACTGCAGAGGTGGTGTTACTACCAGTGGTTTGCAATGCAGAGAGAGACAACATATATTAATATGAGCAATTTATCAGATCCCAGTTTTGAGGACGTTATGCAGTTCAAGGTTCCTTAAAAAGGCAGACTTTGCAAAGGAGTCCAGTACCTAGTACAGTAGCCACAGCAGTCGATCACTGCAAGGAGTTATCAGCACCGAAAAGCGGTGCCTTTCTAGCTCTCGAGACCTTCAAGAGGCTTGACTGCCCTTGGCTGAAGAAGTAACGCTGCAGCCAGGGAAGTTACCGGCCTCAGGGCAGCCTCACGGGGTAAGAGCTCGAGTCGCAGGGAGGTGCAACGCGCGTTGCTCCAGCGGGCCTGCTTCCCTCGGGGGCGCCTCCGGGCAGAGAGGTTTCCGCAGCGCTGTTGTCGAAGGGCCGAGCCCGCCGCCCCTTCTCTTGCCGGGCTCACCCGGCAGGAGCGTGGCA